CTACCTAGCCTTCACGCTACAGGGCAATTTAGCATGGCCAATCCACCTAACCTGCACATCTTTGGACAATGGGCTTCAACAAGACATTCATGGATCATGTCCATGCCAAATAGAACAAATGGATGGCTGATGGTGAAAACAGCCTTGACAAAGAATGGAAATATTTGTGCTGCCTTCTTAATATTTTCTTTTTCAAATCTTGTGATGCTATTAATGCACTAAGTATATGTCATCAAAAAAATACATAACATCCAATTCAGCAAATGGAAAATAAGATGATTTATTGTAAAGCGATGATGATGCTATAGTTAAAGTGACATAGAATGCATTTGATAAACTTTGTATTGGATGCTAAAGACAATGAATTTGACAGTTTAAATGCACTGATTGTGGTTAAAGGTATCTTTGGACCATTAATTAATGAAATAAACTTGTCACATTAATTTAATATGAATTACCTTGTGTTTTTATCCTGACAGTTCAAAACGGCAATCACCCAAACTTTTGCTTCACATTTTATATTGGGTGTAAAAGTCAACTGCCGTTTCTGGAAAGAATTTTCGATGTTTCAAAGGTTAACTAATATGGTGCAATCTGCTGTACATGCTCATAAAATAATCAGAACATACTCAGTTTAGGAATCTGGCATGAATAATAAAGTTTCTGTTTGCAAGATTCTATGTCCTTGAGCATCTTCAGTCTCTAATAACCTGGTTATCATTGGTTATTTGTTACATATCAATACATGATAAAATATATATTAATTATATAATTATTTTGAATAATTATATTAATTATGTTGACAGTTCAATCTGCTGAAAGGGATTTTATACAGTTAACAAATCCCATTCTTCTTAATTCCCTCAGGTAAGGATATGTCGATAACATGAAATTCCTCTATGAAATTAACTCACATCATCACAAAAGGATTGGAATGAATGAGAAGACAGCTGAAATGTTGAACTATAAACTGAGAAATCAAATTTTAAAGCCCACTCTGGTGATATTTGAACTTTAAGGGAAAATTTTACTGCCACGGTTATGAAGTGATTGAAAAGGAAGAAAAACAAGACAAAAGGAAATCACATATTTTACTAAGTGACAATTTGACTCAGTTAATAACACTTCATTATTGCTGTCAAATCTGCGAGTGGGTTGACATTCTTAGCAGGGAACATCCCTCATGCAGTCCATTTGTGACTAGCTTCCTCATAAACTGAGCACGAGATCTTTTACATGTTTTCCTGGGCAAGTTTAAGTAAAAATCTGATTTAAAATCTAAAACCCTAATGCTGTAAGATCATAAAACCATAACATCACAAAAAATTGGAACAGGAGTAGGCTGTTCAATCCCCGAGTCTGCTCCACCATTCAAGTGCCTGATAGCTGAGGCAAAATGGCTGATCTGACATTCTTCACGTAAACTATCCTGCTGTTTCCCTGTAACCCTTGATTCCCCGACTGATCAAGAATCTATTTATAGAGTCATACAGACCTAAAATACCGAAAACGGCTCTTCGGGCCATTGCATCCATGCCATTCAAAAAACAACCACTGACCCATTAGAATCCTACTTTTCAGCTCTAGGCCCATAGCCTTGTATGCCTTGGCATTGCAAGTGCACATCTAAATACTTCTTAATGTTATAATGGTTTCTGCCTCTACCACCCTTCCAGGCCGTGAGTTCCAGATACTCACACCTTCTGGACGTAAAAGATTTTCCTCACATCTACTTCAATCCTTCTGCCTTAACTTAACTTAAATCTATACCCCTGGACATTGATCCTTCCATCGAGGAGAAAAGTTTCTTTTCCCGTCTCCCTTATCTATTTCTCTCATAATTTTATAAAGATCAATCATGTCCCCTTTCATCCTCCTCTACTCTTGAGGAAAACAACCCCAGTCTGTCCAATCTCTCTTTATAACTGAAATTCTCCAGCCCAGGCAACACCTTGGTAAATCTCCTCTGCACCCTCTCCAGTACTATCACAACCCTCCTGTAATTCCAGGAGGGAATTCAGATTCCATTCCATTCCATTCCATTCACCTGCTGTGGATTCCAGACTGCACACAATACTCTAGCTGTGGCCAAAATTACATACAGTTCCAGCATAATCTCCCTGCTCTTAAACTTTATGCCTCAACTAATCAAGGCAAGTGTATCATATGACTTTATAACCAATTTATTCACCTTCCTGATACATTAAGGAACCAATGTTCATGCACACCAAGGTCCCTCTGATCCTCAGTGCTTCATCATATATTCCCTTGCCTTTTTTGTCCTGCATATATTTATCTTGAATTCCATTTGCTACTGATCAACCCATCTAATCAGTCCATCTGTATCCTCCAGTAACCTAGGGCTAGCTTCCTCACTATTTACCACCTCAAATTTTTGTATCATCAGCGAACTTACAGATCAACCCTCCTACATTCAAGTCCAATTCATTTATATAAACTACAAACAGCAAAGACCCATAACACTGACCCTGGTGGGACCCCACTGACACAGACTTACAGTTAGAAAAACATCCCTCATCTATCATTCTCTGCCAGTCAACCAATTGTAGTTCTAATTTTAAAAGCCTTATCAAAAATAGACAACATCAAATGTGTTGCCTTCATTTACACACCCGGTCACCTTTTCAACAAATTCAATAACATTGGTTAGACATGACCTCCTTAACAAAACCATGTTGATTGTTCTCGATTAATCACTATCTCTCCAAATGTAGATTAATTCTGTCCCTTAGAATTGCAGCCAATAGTTTCCCCACCACTGAACTTAGACTGACCGGCCTGTAGTTTCCTGTTTAAGCCCTTGCAACCTTCTTGAATAATGGTACCACAGAGACCATCCTTCAGTCCTCTTTTGCAAGTGCCCCTGCTATTTCCTTCCTTACCTCACTCATTATGGAATACATTTCGTCTGGCCCTGGAGATTTATCTACTTTAAAGCCTGCCAGACGACTCAGAACCTCCTCCCTGTCACTGGTAAATTCTGTAATTGTATCACAGGTCTTCTCCCTGATTTTTATACCCATATTGTCCCTCTCATTAGTGAAACTGACCTAAAGTATTCCTTTAGAACGCCATCTACATCCTCTAGCTAAACGCACAAATTACCACTTTAGTCCTTAATGGGTTCTACTCTATCCTCATTATCCTTTTACCCTGAATGTACCTGTAAATCAACTTACGAATCCCTTCATTTACCTGTCAATACACTCTCTTATCCATTTTTAGCTCTCCTCATCTACCTTTTAAGTTCCCTTTTGTACATTCTATAGCCCTCTACGGGGTCTGTTGTTTTGAGCCTTTGCCGTTTGCCATAACCCTCTCTTTTTCTGTTAATCTGATCGTGTCTATTGTTTGCTATCCAGTGTTCACAGAATTTGATGGTCTTATCCTTTTTCTTTGTTGGAACATGTTGACTCTATATTGTCTATATTTCTTTCTTGAATGAATCCCATTTTTCTGAGACAGATTCAACTGAAAGTATTTGCTCCCAGTTCACTCAGGCAAAATCATGCCTGATCAGACACCTTCAATTAAGAACTTTGATTTCAAGCTCATCCAAGGCCTTTTCCATAAGAATTTGAATCTAACAAGTTATGATCACTGTCTGAAAAATGCTCTCTTACTGTTACTTCAGCCACTTGCCTGACTTCATTACCAAAAATTAAATCCAGAACCGGTCCCTTTCTTGTACAGTATTTTATGTACTGGCTTAAAAAGCTGTCCTGGATGCATTTTAAGAATTCCGTTCCGTCCAAACCTTTTACACAATGACTACTGCAGTTAATGTAGGGAAAGTTAAAATCCCCGACTCTCACTACCCCATTACTTTTACACTTCCCTGAAATTTGCCTACTCGCCCGCTTTTTTCATTTCTCTCATACTGGCAGGGGGGCTATAGTACACTCACAACAATTTCATTGGTCCTGTTTGGTTTTTAAGTTCCATCCAAATGGCTTCATTTGAGGAGCCTTCTAAGGTATCATCCCTCCTTATTGTGTGCAAAACTTCTTCCCTGCCTCGCCTGAAAACCTTGTATCCTGGAATACTGAGCTGCTAGTCCTGCCCCTCTCTCAATCATGTCTCAGTGAGCTCATAGCCTTAAATATACACAAGGCTCTTCCCTCACAGCTGTCTGTGGCAAGGAGTTCCAAAGACTCACAACCCTCCAAGTCAAGGAATTTCTCTTCATCTCAGTCTTAAATTGGCATCCCTTTATTCTGAGAGTGTGCCATCTGGTCCTAGACTCTCCCATTCTGGAAAACATCCTCTCAGCATTTAGCCTGTCATGCCTGGTAATAATCCAATATGTTTCAATGAGATCACCTTCTCATTCTTCCAAACTCCAGTGAGTAGAGTTCCAACCTGTTTAGCCTTTGCTTATAAGACAATCCCTTCATAACGGGGATCATCCAAGTGAACCTGCTCTGAACTGCCTCAAATCAAATAATATCTTGCCTTAAATAAAGGGATTAAAACAGTTCACAGTATTGCGGACGTAGTCCCAATGGCATATTGTAGGAGTTGCAGTAAAACCTCCCCACTTTTATGCTCCAATGCCTTGAAATAAAGGCCAACATTCCATTCACCTGCTGTGACTGTGTGCTAGTTTTCTGTGTTTTGTGCTCAAGTACCCTAAGTCCCAGTGTGTTGTAGCTTTCTGCAGTTTTTAAACTTATCAAACTGTTGAGTACGCCTATCTTCATTTGCCCGAAGTAGAAATCATTTAATTGTGATTAATCAATACAATAATTTGACAGAAGTATAACAGCTTAACAGTTAAAAATGCTGGAAACACTCAGCAGCATCCGTGGAAAATAAAGTTAACAGTTTTATCAGAACAGGATAGTCATTGGCCTGAAATTTTAATTTGTGTTCCCTCTGCACAGATGCTGCCAGATCACCTGAGCGTTTCTACATTTATGTTTTTATTCCATATTTCCAGCATTTGCAAAATTTTGCTCTGTAGGTATAACACTTACTTGAATGCGACATCTTTCTTGGGATTCTGTCAAAGCTGCCAAATATTCTTCCTTTTCCTGTTCTAAAGCTTGTATGTGCCCGAGTGCATCCTTCAGCTCAGCTGCTTTTAAACCGAATAATTCCTCATCTGTGGCCAGAGCATCCTGGGGAAGATAAAAATAGTAAACAGAACAGTAAACATAACTCATTGCAAATTTCAGATTTAGCATGACGAAGGATGCAAAGTGAAGTTCTCAGAGGCCAATTATTATTTGACAAGTATCAAGTTGATTTGGAAATTACATGAAAGTAAAAAATAAATTACGAAAATAATCCATCTCCTTCATATATGAAAAGGTTAATTTTTTTTCATCTGCATCAAACTGACAAAAATGTTTATTCAATTATTAGGCCTAGATTCAATTCCCACCTGCTTCAGAGGTATGTAATAACATTTCTGAACAGCTTGTTTAGGAAAATAGGTTAAATTAAAAAAAAACCTCTGAACAGGTTGATTACAAAAAAAATGGCAACACTAATGCAATAAATTAAATTGACTTTTAAGCTGATCAAAAAGCATCATGAACTAGAGTTGGATAAAATAAATCCAAAAAAGATACAATGAAACACTTTAATACAGACAATAAATTAGATAGGACAGATGGGAAGAATAGTAGGGCATTAATAAAACCCCTTGGTTCAAACACATAGAGGGAAACCTTCAGATGAACACTGACACCATGGCAGGAAACTCCAGTGAAGAAAATTCAGTGGTAAGCCGATAACAAAGTCCCCCTTCCATCATACAGAGCTGCAGGCAGGCGGAGGTGCTGTAGTCTCGGACTTCCACGCCTTACTGAGGAGGAGGTTCCACCTCCTAGAGCTGCTGACTGGCAGCTCCAACTGAGCTCAAATGTGGGGACAGCCAGACTCACAATGAAGACCCAATGATCCCCATGGTGATTTAAGTTATTGGTATTGAGGAGCTAAGAATTTGGCCGTCTTAGGGCAGGAGGTTTTGAAGTATGAGTGATCAGGAAGGACATGATTTTCGACCTTTTTCAGGAATTCCTCTGATGGGCAAAAGACACTTTCCAGTTGCTTTAAACACTTTTAACAAAAAAAGGATACCCATGCCAACTATACAATGAGCTCAGCCAATTCAGCTTTTAACAATTGTGCATATTAAAAGCTCAACTGACTGTTAATTATTTCATTACATATGGAGTGCAAGCTGTCCATTTCAATATCTCCTCAGGACTGAGTGGGAAGATGGTAGACTAGCCAAGTTATCTAGTTTATGTGCACCCATACCAAAAACACATCCAGCAGGAATGCAAAGTCCAGTCCCATGTTTTGACATGTCAACCTATTCAACCATTACTTACACACACACACACACACACACACACACACAAAGCAGTGTAAAGTTCAGATCTGGAGGTGCGACAGAAATCTCAAGAAAAAAAATGTCAGGTCAGTTTATTGACAAGTTCCAAAATCCAAGAGCACTTTCCAGGGTAGGGTCTATCAAATGTAATCAACCCGAACGTCTGCAGCAGGCATCAATAAAGATTGTTGTGTGATTAATTACTGGCAACTTTCACAACAGTTGGTCATTTCTGCAACAATGCAAACTCCTTGCTATATCAGAAGCGCTGTGCCTAAGTGGAAGTGGTTTCATTGTAGGAGGTGGAGCATGACAACTGAGGTATTTTAATGGTTACTAACAGAAAATGGTAAGATTGCTGTGGTTCCATTTCATAGCCTTGCCACTAAGTGAAGATTTCTTGAAGACAGATGTCTCTGATCAGTGATAGCTGCTCCCTTGATATTGATAGAATCTCATTACTTTCCTGCTGCTTCTACTATTTGGTTCTTCAGTATTACACTCATCAGTGGGCCACGCTATATTCATTCACCTCCTGCTTCTGGACCATCTCTAACTGGATGAAACAGAAATGACTTACTAGTTGGTCACTTCCTGTAAAATAAAGCTTTTAAGTGGTGGCAGTGAATGCAGTTAAGATGTGGAAATGGTCTTGCCTCCAAAATATTTTCAAAGTTGACAAAATTGAGTCCCAATGTTACATTACATTCTTTCTTCTTGCCAATTTTCTCGACCAACTTTTCTCATCAACTTTGCTGATTTCTCCTGGGGAACAGTTTCACAAATATGTGTAACCATCTGCTACCTCATTCTTTATGTGAAAATTTTCACCATAAGTGTCAGCTAACAATTTTACTATGAGGAAAGCCAGATCCCAAAACAACTCCTGTCCTCAGGCTGATATCCACACATCCAGTGTCAGCAGAATTTGCCAGACCGTCATCAGGAGCAGGAATCCTTCTCTAATTCCAAGGTGCTGAGAGTTATCAACTAATTTGTCACAGGCCAGAGATTCAACTTGAGATCTTCCCAGTGGCTCAACTACTGACCAAACTAATAAAAAGGGTAAATTCAACATAATTTTAAGCAAATATATCTTTGATTTATGCAAATGTAAAGGCCCAATAAATCAGGTATTTATCTAATGCTTTCTGGAAGGCATTTTTTTAAAAAAATGTTGAGCGATGCCTAGACTTTGGTGTAAATGGCACAAAATCAACAGTGCGGACAACATAAATCTTGGTGGTATTGTGAACGGTGAAGAGGATAGTGGTAAATTTCAAAATGGCATAGACAGGTTTGTGGAATGAACAAACAAGTGGCAGATGAAACTTAATGCAGAGAACTGTGAAGTGATTCATTTTGGTAGGAAGATTGTGGAGACCAAATATAAAATAAAACATACAATTCGAAAAGAGTTCCAGAAGTAGTGGGATCTAGGGAGTATATGTACACAAATCATTGATGGTGATAGATCAAGTTGAGAGAGCTGTTAACAAACCATCTGGGGTGCTGGATTTTGATTAATAGGAGCATAGAGTACAAAAGAAAGGAAGTCATGACAAACTGCTATAAAACACTGTTGAGGCCTCATCTGCAGCTTGCTTCCAATTCTGGGCATCACATTTTATGAAAAAAGTTAAGGCATTAGAGAGAGTGCAGAAAATATTTTTGGGAATGCTTCCGGGGATGATATGGTTTAATGCAGCTGGTGCTGTTCTCCTTGGAGAAGAGAAGGTTAAGAGGACATAATAGAGGTATTTGAAATCATGAGGGGATTGGATAGATTGACAGTGAGAAATTGTTGCCATTGCAAAAGGATTCAGAACCAGAGGGCAAAGATATAAATTAAAGGATGCAATGGTGAAATAAGGAGAATGCTTTTTAACAAAGCAAGTTCAAGATGTGGTTGAATTTGATTCAAACTTGGCATTCAAAAAGGGGTTAGTTAATTATATAAAAAAGAAAAATTTGCAGGCCTATGGTGTAGAGACGGAGAGTAGCAATAGGTGAATTCACATGGAGACAACAGAGCTTCTATACTGTAACCATTCTGAGATTTTAGAGAAGACAATAGGTTTTTGCTGGCTGGAAGAACATTGAAAGTCAGTATACAATAAGCAGTACAACTCTGAAGGGGTTATAGGAGCAGAAGGTGGCAGAACAAGTGTACAGAATGGCTAATAAAGCATACAGTGCCCTCAGCTTCACAGGTGCATAGAGTACAAGAGTACAAAAGTGACGTTGGACTTGTACAAGGCACTTGTTAGACCTCAGCTGGTGTATTATGTACAATTGTGAGTGCCTACATTGTAGAGTCAGAGGAAACAGCCTCTTCAGCCCAACTTCTCTGAATCGACCAAGTTTCCTAAACTGAACTAGTCCCATTTGCCGGTGTGTGGCCCATATCTCTTCAAACCTTTCCTATCCATGTACCTGTCAAAATATATTGTAAATGTTGTATTTGTACCTGTCTCTGCCAGCTTGACCATGTATGCACCACCCTCTGTGTGAAAAAGTTGTCCCTCAGGCCCCTTTTAAATCTTTCTCCTCTCACCTTAAACCTATGCCCTTTAGTTTTGGACTCCACTACCCTGGGGAAAAGAGACAGTCATAGAGTCACAGTATTTTACAGCACAGAAATAACTGTGTGGTCCAACCAGTCCATGCCGAACATAATCCCAAACTAAACTAGTCCCACCTGCCTGCACTTGCCTCACATCCCTCCAAACATTTCTTATTCATGTACTTATCTAAATGTCTTATTAAATATACAATTATTAAACTGTACCCACATCCACCACTTCCCCTGGATGTTCATTCCACATATGAACCAACCTCTGTGTAATAAAATTGCCCCTCGTGTCTTTTTTTAAAATCTTTCTCCTCCATAAAAATATGCCTCCAGTCTTGAAATTCCCCACCCTAGGGAAAAGGCACCTGCCATTCACCTTATCTATACCCCTCGTGATTTTAGAAACCTTTATAAGGTCACTCCACAACCTCTTACACTCCAGAGAAAATAGTCCCAGCCTATCTAAATGTATTGGAGACAGAGTACAGAGCAATGGTTCCAGGTGATGAGAAACTTCAATTATGAGGAGAATTGACGTGTCTGCATAGTCATCTTTTTGAACATGAGAAACACATTGTTGGTTGCATCTACTGGCATCTGCTCAGTGTCAAGTGGCATATATTTTCACATCCATAAATATCCTTCCGGGGATTTTCTTAACACCTTGGAGGAAATAACATCTGTTTTGGCTGGTCATTGCATTGTACAGGGTATACATTTCAGCCTATGTTACAGGCTGCTCATATTGATGATTAAGCCTACCAAAAGTAAGTTATACTGTACCTGGCATTTCTTCAGCTCTCTTTTCAGTTGAAATATCGTAATGTGATGAGAGTCCTGTCCTCCACTTCCAACTCCACTATCAGTGCCAAACAGGTCAGGTAATTCATTTTGCAGTTCCTCTACCATGTTGAACCACTCCTTCAGCTTTTGCCATTGGTTTTCTTTCAAACTGTTTTCATCTCTAAATTCCAAGAAGAAGTGTAATGCTTCATCAATGCAATGTTTATAGTGATAGCTTTCCATTTGTAGATGGGCAACCTGCTCCTCCAGAGAATGGATCCGTTTTTTGTCTTGAAACAAATCCTGAGAAACCTGACTAGCACGAGTCAGAAGGCTTGTCTGTTGATTCTGCAGTGCCTCCCGGAGTGTTTTGATTTGTAATTCCATTTCATCTATCCGATCCCAGTCTGGGTTATAATTTACAATAGGTTTGTTTCTTATGTCCTTGGCTCGATTGGCATATTTCAGAGTGTTCAGGGATTCATCAAAACTAGATGATGAGGGGCTAATGCATGCAATCATCACAGTTTTAGCATTTCCTCCAAGAGAGTCTTTCAACAAGCGTGTTATCTTAGTATCCCTGTATGGAATGTGTATACTTTTTCTCTTTGGGTCTCCAAGAGCGCTGATCACATTCCCAAGTGCCAGAAGACCACTGTTTATTTGAATTGATTCCTTAAATCGTTCACCTGTGTTTCCTGTTTTAGTAACCCTTTCAGAACCAGCTAGATCGACAAAGCAAAATTTAGAAGAAATCAGTTGAAATGACCTTATTGATTCTTTTATAATGTGCTCCTCATCAGTATTTGATTGCTGCTCATTTTTAGGCCGTTTTTGATTGAGGTACATTGTGAAAATGGCATGTGACCGGCTGGAGTGCTCATTCATCTGTGTGGTACCTGTGTGTCGAGCTGCATTGCCAGCCTCCAACAGACTCATCATTTCATCCGGTGTCTCAACTTCACACTCCTTCGCCCCAATAATCACTAAAACAAACAAGGGTACATGGAAAGATTATTTTGTAATGTTAATTAGTATTTTGATATATAGCAATTTGGTAGTTTAAAAATTGACCATTGCTGATACAACGCATTTGTTGAAGCATTTCATCTTGCACATATCAGTGTAACTCCTTGCACATTCAGGATTATCCAGCAAATGTTGTCTCATTGCAGAATCACATCTACTGTTAGATACTGTGCTGGCAGGTTTTCAAGCATGGGCTGATTGGGTACAGTCAGCACTTTGCTTGTGAACAGTGAAAGGACAAGTTGTTTGATACTATCCACGAGACAGCAAGATGAAAGACAAAATGCATCTTTTTAATCAGTAATACTTTTGAAAAATATAAGAATGAGATGGGAAAGGTAATACGATAGCTGCATGTTATATTATATTAAATAACTCAGTAGTCCATGCAGTAAAAGCCCTCCCAGGGATGATTCCTCGTTTGCACCACGTTAGAACAACATAGTAGATACAGCATGAGAGCAGGCCATTGGGCTCAAGTACTGTTTAAGTTCCAATTGAGCATCACGTTTCATCTAAATCTACCTTCAAAAACTTCTATTCCCATCTCCCTCAGATGCTTAAGTAGTTTCCCCTTAAATCTGTCTACACTGTTCATTTCAACAACCTCCTGTGAGAGTAGGTTGCACATTCAACACCACTATTTGGGTAAATAAGATTCTTATGTATTTTCTCATACTGAAAGCTTCTAGTTATGTTCTTCTCTGTGAGAAGTAATATTCTCTTTGTATTCACTTCGTCAAAACCTTTCAGAATTTTAAAGACATCATTAGGTCAGCCTTTTGTTATTGAGAGAACCAATTTCTGATATCATATTTGTAAATCTTCTCTGCAATACCTCTACAGTCTTTTTATTACATGACAACCAGAAGTGCATGCAATGCTAAGTATGCTCTAATCAAAGTTCAATACAGTTTTAGCACACTTACCCAATTTTAAATACTGCTCCTCTAAAAGTAAAAACCTGGTTTGCTTTCGTTATGGCCTAGCTAACCTATGCACTATTTTTAGAGATTGCTGCATTTTTACATCCTCTACATTGTTCCTCTGCACAATCTAGAACTAACCGTACCTTCCAAGTAATAAGTGACTTCCCTATTCTCCCTTCAATTTATTGGTGTTTAATTGCACTTATCATTCATTGAGCCATTATGTGAGATTATTAAAGTCCTCCTGTAATTTGTTCCAGTTCTCCTCAGTATTGTCTATTTCCTCCACAGCACTAACACCAGCCAAACCCCAATTAGGTGTCATCCACATATTTAGAAATTGTGTTTTTGATTGCAAAGTCCAAACTGTTGCAAGTGGTTCCATTTCAAACAAGGTAGTGGTGGGAGCTTAAAATTCGCTTCTGTATTTGCATTATAGACAGCACTTTTTTGGTGGGGGAAGACAGAAAAATGGTCAACAACTCAGTGATTGTTACTTCTTTTCTCATATTTTACAATCTAATTTTAGTCAAAATCCTCAGCCACATTTTCAAGGTTCTGTCCTTAGTATCAAGAACAGAAATTAGATAAACAAATATGGAAATAAGATTTTTCTGCCCCTGATTTTCCAACAATAGACAGCAAATCGCAAGAATTTTTTGAATCAGTCACATTGATTCACCACATGCATGCCAAATCCCAGTCAAAATTAAGGTGTAATGCACATAAGCAATCTGCAGTCCTAGGCTTAAAACTGATATTTGCCTAGAAAATGGCAGTAGGCACTAATAAGTAGAAGTTCATTTGCAATTCAAATCATGCCAGTCAATGGGCAAACACAGAGACACATGTACAGTTTTACATTAACTATACATGTCCATTAGCCCAAATTAGATCACAATTAAAATTTAATTGCCAACTTGCAATGTTTATGTGAAGGGACAAGGTAAAAATAATGAATTTTGGAAACAAAAGTAGTATAAATGTGATATATCTGCTAAAGACAATTGAAACTACAACGACTATAACTGATACAAACATTTTTCTATAAAAGCAAATTTCTAATGAATTTTAAACATAGTGAAAATAACTTAGAATAACTTAGAATAGAATCATGTAAGCATTGAGAAGAGGGAAAAAATTATAAATGAAATAGGAAGGAGAGAATAAAGAAAACACGATCAAAATTAATTAAACTGTTATATTTATTTAAACCAAATGGTAGAATTACCTGTGTTTCCTTTTTCATCTTCTCTGATATGAATGTCTTTGCTGGTGCTCTGTAACTCCAAAAGGTCTCTTAGCTCTTCTTTATACACTTCAATATAGGACACTTTAACATCAAAGTCTACATTGTGATTTTCAGTGATGTTCTGGAAGATCTCGTGAATGGCACGTGGAATAATGCCTTTCAACTCATCAGAAAATGAAGCTTTAGATCATAAAAGAATTCTTATAAATTTTCAGCAAATGCATTTAATCAGTGAACAATACAACCTGATCCAATCTTGCTTTTCTGAATTATACATAACTATAGTGTTGCTCTACAAAAAGTATATAGGTGAGGGCAAACATGTTGATGCAAAATGTACACAATGCAGGGGTAAATCCACCTTGGGTCTACTGTTACAAAAATAAACAACATAGAAGTGATTCCATGCTTGCAGATGGGCACATAAGAAATTGGGCTTGTAGCTTGTGATTTACAAGTCTAGAAACGGAGTTGTTTGTGGAGTAATTTCTTAAACTGTAATTCTTGCAAAAGCCAATTCACAGAATCACCGTTTACAAAACTGTCATTGGATTATAGATTCTACCAATGGAAGAAGGTGTTGATGCTCTAAATTGTTAAACTCAATGTACAGTCCTGAAGGCTGTAAGGTTCCCAACTGGAAGACGAGGTGCTTATTCAACCAGCTTCCATCAAGCCTCTCTGGAGCACCATAGTAAGCCTGAGTCAGAAATGTTTACAAGGGAACATGGCAGTGTGTTGAAATGACAGACAAATAGAAGCTCCGGGCCATTTTTACAGAGTATAGGGTTCCACAAAGCAGTCCCCCAATCCGTATTTTATCTCCTCACTGCAGACAAAACTGTATTGTGAGCAGTGAATATGGAAGACCAGATTGAATAAAGTGCAGATAAATCACCTGAATGGTGGAAGTGGGAAGATGGCATTAAACCTCCCTCACCACCCTCATGCCTGACTAAATACCCTCTTGCCACAAAACTCACCATGAAGTAGGACACAGGATACTGCACCAAGAGGAGACCAACATGTTATTATTGCCATAAAACAGGGCATGTGAAAGCCAATTGCTGGGACTGAATGCTAACGTGATAGATTTCATTGGCATGTCTTGTGTTTCTCCACAAAATATTGTACCAGTAAGTAAAGCTGGTGACAAACTGATACTCAGCTCACCACACACCATGGTCCTCCATAACTCTCCAAGTAAACTCTCTCCCGACTCATGCTCCCTCACAGTCCCCTGCCACCTCCATTGCCAGTCATCCAGTAGCTACTGTAAGTAGACCTCAACAGCCATGCAGAAATGACAAAAAAAGTCTTAACAATTTAAGATGGCATAAATTGATCCATTATTAACTATTACACTATTCATCCATTCAGAGCTTTTAAATCTCAAGTGGTTTGCCTCTTATAAAGATAAACTTCTATTTAGACGCCATGATTTTCTTTTTAAACTGTTAGGCAAGCTATGAACCTTTGCTGAGATAACGACGGCTTTTGAAACCCCAGCAAAGATTCATAATGACATAATAGCCCTTGGGGATATGTCAACGAAGAGCCCTATTAAAACTGTAGAAACAAATGTAAATTTTCTTTTCTAACACAATAGATGGCCTATAAATTAAACCAGTCCAACAGAACGTTTTTTTTTTAAACTGTCACTGACAACTGCAATCTCCTTTCATGCAATGCTTAAAGAACATTAAAGGAATTTTTAAAAATCTTCGACTATGACACTTAAATAGACCTTACCACACTCAGGAGTGTTTATACCTGATCAATCAATTTATAATTGCCACATTGCAGGGCAAGGTCCTCACAGCAACCAAAATGGAACCCATTTGAACTCAGCACTAAGTTCAAATGGATCTGCTGAGTTGAGGTTTCTCTCCTGTATGATTCACATTGTGCCCCTTATCCCTGCCTACAAAAATTGGATCAGTTGAAAATGAGGATGGGACTATATCCTGAAGATGTAAATTATTTTTAATGTCCACTGATTGTTCCCAACATTGCAGGAATCCAGCCCACAGCCTCCTTCAAAATCTCTGCCAAAGTTCTCCAGAAACTACCACTACAAGAAAACAATGGAATGAAAGTAGGCCCTTTCATCCTTCAAGTCTCCTTTAACATTCAATGGTTAATCAGTGACATAACTACTTTCACCTTGCAACATTATTACCCCAAATCCCTTATTTTGATTTATAAAAATCTATCAATCACAGTTTTAAATGTGATAACTAATCCAGCATTAACTGACATTTGTGAATAAGAGTTCCAAACTTTGACTACCATTTTGATTCCTAATTTAATTCCTTACAGATCTGGCTCCAATTTTAGGCCTAGATTGACAAACCAGTGGATATCAAGTAGATCTATTCCCTTTGATCATACAATAAACCACAATGATACTCATTACTTCTACGGAAGCTACTTATAGATGCTTCCCAATGCTGCGCAGAAAGATGAGAAACTTCAGAAGTTGGGAGATTTTTGGCTCTCAAATACATTACACTGGGATTGAACTAGACTATCGCAATTCAAATCATGCACTAACATTAGTGTGGTGTACAGTTAACTGCTGTCAATAATTATTACATAGATATTCCACAGTAATGTGGCATAAAGTTAGGCATTTTATAACAGTTACAAAGCAAAAGAACAAAGAAAGTGTTTTCTTTAAAAAGATTCTTACCTATATGTCCTCCACCAATTGTATATGTTTTTCCAGATCCTGTTTGTCCGTAAGCAAAGACAGTGGCATTATAACCTTCAATTACGGATATCACTAAAGGTTTTACGCAGGCAGAATATATGTCTTCTTGGGATGATTTTTGTCCAAATACAAAATCAAATGTAAAAGCACGATCTTTCCCAATCACAACTTGCTGTGTGTTGGGGACAACCCGAACACAAACTTGATGGTTGTGGAGGATTTCTTTTGGAAGCAGGGGTCGAATCCGTACAGCGACTTTGACTGCAATCTCTTCCATTTTAGCAAGATTAAAACATTTGATGCAACAAATTGTTGTTTTACGTTTGAACTTCTTTGAAAATCATCTTTTGGCTTTGCTCCGCAGTGAGTACACTTGGGAAAAAAAAATGTTAGATTTCAACTTACAAATTTTAAAAGAAGACTGCATTTTGAAAAATCTGAGACTGTTTAAGAAGGGAACAGATATGGTGGACAGAATAGGAAGTACAGTGCACATGAATTTTCAGAAAATCTTACAAAGTGCACCGTACAGAAGACTACTGCAGGCAATTTAGCCATTATCAATTACAAGGGAGATTCAAATTAGAATAAAAACACTCCTACAGGGAGGGTACAGGAAGCTTGAGTTAAAGATAGTTTCTTAAAATAGCTAGAATTAAGCATAGACGTCACACAGGGATCTGTTCTTGGACTATATTTATTAAATGTGTTTATCAATCATTAGATTAGGAAACTGTCCATGGTAGGGCTTGGATGGAGGCAGGCTCCATCCATACCTGAGTCATTTTCATAGAAATGGTAGGGCAAGGGTGGAGCACGCCCATCCATCTACATGCCAATTTAAGACCCAGTAAAAGAGGTCCATGGAAATTTTGCAGGCAGCCTCCAGGTTCCTCTGGCAACAGGGGCAGTTTTGTTACCCAGAGGCAACAGGGCCAGATCTCTGCCTGTCCACCTCAATACAGCAGCAGTCACTTCGTAGAAGAATCCTGTCCACCCTGGCTGCAGTGGTGTAATTTTTAATTTAAACTTAAATTGCTAGTGAGAAGAAATCTCCATTTTGAAGCACCCTATCCCTAACTTACCTTCTATTGATTCTTGGTGCTGCTTTTATGCTGGGCAGTCTCTAATTGGTTCTCCAGAGTCAAGAGCCCACCTGCCATCCTTAACTGGGTGCTACTCTGCTCTTTGGCCATTAATTGGCTGCTATGGAGAAAACCACATTGAATACTATTTTCCCACATATTGCAGGCTTCTGAACTCCATGTGAGCCCGTAAGAATGTCCAGAGAATGTCCTGCCCCATGTCAGCACTTAAGAATCAATTGGATAAATGGTTGTACAAAGAAAGAATAAACTGGCATGGGTACTGTGTACAAAAACAGGCATATGAGGAAGGTAATCACCCAAGAAAGGCTGTTTGAACCAAATGATCTGCTTCCCTTTCTATGCAATTAAATGGATTTTGAGATAGTTACTGTAATCCATTTGTTTGGTTAGAAGGAGTCAAATACAACTGTAAGCTATGAAATTGTCCAAAACAACTTAAAATAAATAAAATTTTGCTCTGTTAAATTGCTGAACAGCAACATTTCAAATGATTTGTGACCTACAATGGCCTTTGATTGATGTCTTTACTCCTCAGGGAATTATTGAGGTGGTATTCTTGTATACATTGCTGCCGTTGTTCCATCCAGACCTGACAAGAAAAAGAAATATTACCGTTAACCTAAACATGATCCATAATAATCATGCAACTGTGGTTAACCTGAGAAGTTCAAGAAAGAATAATACTAAAAGGAGAACTGTCTTTTTAAGTTGGTGAAAAAGATAGCTAGCATGAGGATAGGGAGGATTTAGTAATTCAGTGAAGATGACCACCATTATGTTAAAGAGGAAGAAAATAGACAATAGATATAACACAGATTGTGAAAGTTTCTGTAGCTATGTAAAAAGGAACTGGTTAGCAAAAGTAAACGTGGGTACCTTAGAAGAAATGAGAAATTATAACCACAAGATTATAAAGCCAAAAGACACAGAAACAGAAATAGGCCATTCAACCTATCAAGTTTGCTCCACCATTCAACAAGATCTTCTCTTTGTATCATCCTCACCTTTTGCCTTCCCACCTAATTTTGTATCATCCACATACTTGGCTACAGTACATTCACTTTCCTCATCCAAGTCATTAATATATATTGTAAATAATTATGGGCCTAGCACTGATCCCTGTGGTACACCACTAGTTATAAGTTGCCATCCTGAAATAACGGTGAATAAGGAAATGGTGGTGAGATTAAATTATAACTTTGTATCGATTTTCACAGAAGACATGAAAGCATGTTAGAAATAGCAGGAAACCAAAAGTTTTGCAATAAATTAGAAATTTAGAGTTATGATTATTAGTAAAGATATAGTGCTGTATAAATAAATGGAACTTCAAATCAACAAATTACTTGGAGTTAATGGCATGCATCCCAGAATATTAAAAGAAGCAACTACACAGATGGTGGATTCATTGATTTTATTCTTCCAAAAGTCCCTAGGTTAGCTCCACTTATGTGAAATAGCATCACTGTAAAGGCTGTTAATATAAGACAGTCACAAAGAAATCTAGTAAGAAATTCAGAAAAAAATTCTTAACCCAAAAAGTGGTAAGCACATAGAATTCACTTCCCCAGGGAATAGTTGAAGAGAATATTATGTATGTATTTAAGGGGAAGCTATACAAGCCTATGAAGAAGAGGAAATAAATGGTTATGATGATAGATTTGGTTGAAAAAAGATGGCAAGAAGCTCAAGTAGTGAATAACTGCCGACATGGACTGATTGGGCCAGATGGTCTGTTTCCGTGCCATGTATCCTATGCAATACTATGTAAAATACACTGGGGCAGGGTAGGGCAACAATCAGAAACCATATGGAATACAATAGCAAATAAAAGAAAATAATTTGGGCCTGCAATCAGACAAGAGTCATTGAACTTGAAACGTGAACTGTTTCTCTCTCCATAGATGTGCCAGACCTGCTGAGATTCTCCAGCATTTTCAGTTTTTATTTCAGATTTCCAGCATCCATAGAAACATAGAAGATAGCGGCAGGAGGAGGCCATTTGGCCCTTTGAGCCTGCTCTGCCATTCTTCACGATCATAGCTGATCGTCCAACTCAATAGCCTAATCCTGCTTTCTCCCCATAACCTTTGATCCCATTTGCCCCAAGTGCTATATCTAGTCACCTCTTGAATAAGTTCAATGTTTTGACATCAACTACTTCCCATGATAATGAATTCCACAGGCTCACCACACTTTGGGTGAAGAAACGTCTCCTCATCTCTGTCCTAAATCGTCTACCCCAAATCCTCATACTGTAACCTCTGGTTCTGGACACACCCACCTTCGGGAACATCCTCCCTGTATTTACCCTATCCAGTCCTGTTAGAATTTTAAAAATCTCATTTGTCTGAACTCGAGTGAAAACAATCCCAACCTAAACAATCTCTCCTCATACGTTCGACCCGCCATCCCCAGAATCAGCCTGATAAACCTTCGCTGCCTGATAAACCTCGAAAGTATTGTTTTATTGCCTTTGCAATATCCTGTTTGCTGATGTTTGCACACGAACTGCAGAATCAGCTGCAGTATAATATAGAGTTGTTTACAGTGCATGTTCATGGCCTTATGATCAGTATGAAAAAGAAAGTGAAATTATGAGCCAGTCTGCTCCAGGAAAGCCTCATCTTGAGCTTAAAATTTCAGTCTATGACCAGAAAATATCATTAGCAAACTCTCAAACAGATTATCAAAGCAAGTGTAGCCTTCAGCAGACTTTTTGAACATTAGTTTTGAAACAAAAGAGAAAAAAGTGTGCCTATCAGGCTGAAAACCTATTGAGCATTAGTTCTGCCCACCCTGCCGTACATATGCGAGACTAGAACTATGTACCAGTGTCATACCAAACTACTTTTACTTGACCTGCTTTTGGAAACTTCACCATATTGAGACAACTTACCAATATCCAAGACAAGAGCCTTGGCATCTTCACTTCAAAAGACAAGCAACACAGCTGGTGAGGGAGGAGCAATTGAGAGAGGGGATCACCATCTGCAGATTTGTCATCATATCTGACTGAATCTGTCCATATTCTCAATTGGTCTTCTTCTGCATTTTATTTTGCTAAGCTGGAAAGGATTTAGATGCCACCAAATGGAAATAGATACCAGACCCAACAGCTTATTGACTGAAGAAGAAATAATCTCTAAGGAAAGGGAGACATCTACTGAAAACAGAACCATAATTCCACAGAATCTGGAATCTTGTTCCACAATTACAAATAGGATGTTAGCTGTGTAATAATTGTATGCTGGTGGTGGGCGTTACTTGGGGTTTTACTTGACCCGATACAAAGTAACCATATCTGAAACTACAGGGGTTTGAATTAGGACATTTTTGTTTATAATATCTAACTCAGTAAAAAAATGGAAAAGTGATTTAAGATTGGCTCAAGTACTTGCTTTCAAGCAACTAACTAAACACATTTCAATAAAGAGGTGAAAATGATGAATCTTTGTACAGTCAAAACACTACAGTAATAAGAGAAACATAAAATAGACTGTCCCAAGTTATTGCTAAACTATGAGAACTCAAAGCCTTATAGCACAGAAATCCAAAATGCTTACATTAATGCTAGACAGGAATCTCCCATCTCACTACATGGGATGGAACAGTAGTACAAATAAATTGCTGGCAACAATTTGGTCTGTCAATACTATTGTTTGAATCATTGTCAACAGAAAATGTTAAAGAGATAGTTGGTTCTACAGGCTGGAGTGATTTGATCAGAATCCTGCAGTGGCTGGCAATCTATAACAGAAGTAAAGAAGGTTTCCACAGTATGGGACAAAAGGGGTAAATTGCCTTTCAACTGAAAACGAGCAGTGACACTTCTATAAAATGCAGGCACCAGGTGGAATCTTCAAGGAGATGGGCTGAAAAGTGAGATCTACTTCTGTTCAGAGTCAAGTTTTTTTCTTGCAATTTTATCTACTCCACTAATTACATATGCGTGTACAGGTAAAATGCCAAATTTAATGAGCAAGAGTCAAGAGATGTCTCTTCAATCATTCCCTCTAATTTTCTTCCTGACTACATGGGCCTCCGAAGCCCCTGCACAGCAGTGACTTTTATATTCAGAAGTCAATACCACTATCAGTGTACTATTGCCCATCATTGTTCACGGAACATCAAAGCAGCTTAGAGGGAACATTGGTCAAAAGCTTCCTCCCATCCACATCTAGAATACTGTGAACAGTTTTAGTTCCCTTATATCTAAGGAAAGATATACCGGATTATAAAAAAAGAACTGCAGGTGCTGGAAATCAGAAACTAAATCAGAAATTGCTGGAAAAACTCAGGTCTGGCAGCATCTTTAGGAAGAAAGCAGAGTTAATGTTTCAGGTCCAGTGACCCTTTTTCAGAACTGATTGTAGCTAGGAAAAGGTTGGTATATATGCCAGAAAGAGGATGGTTGGGGGGAAGGGAAGGAGTAAGAACATACATAAGAGCTAGGAGCAGGAGTAGGCCGTCCAGCCCTTCGAACCTGCTTCGCCATTCAATAAGATCATGGCTGATATCTTCGTGGACTCAGATCCACTTACCCACGTTCTCACCGTATCCCTTAATTCCTTTATTGTTCAAAAAAAATCCACCTTATCTTTAAAAACGTTTACTGAAGTAGCGTCAACTACTTCACTGGGCAAAGAATTCCATAGATTAACAACCCTCTGGGTGAAGAAGTTCCTTCTCAATTCAGTCCTAAATCTGCTCCCTCTAATCTTGAGGCTATGCCCTCTTGTCCTAGTTTCACCTGCCAGTAGAAACATCCTCTCTACTTCTATCTTATCTATTCCCTTCATAATTTTATATGTTTCTATAAGATCCCCCGTCAATCTTCTGAATTCCAATGAATATAATCCCAATCTACTCAGTCTCTCCTCATAAGCCAACCCTCTCAACTTCGGAATCAACCTAGTGAACCTCCTTTGCACCCCCTCCAGTGCCAGTACATCCTTTCTCAAGTAAGGAGACCAAAACTGCACACAGTACTCCAGGTGTGGCCTCACCAGCACCTTGTACAGCTGCAACATAACCTCTCTGCTTTTAATCTCAATCCCTTTAGCAATGAAGGACAAAATTCCATTTGCCTTCCTAATTACTTGTTGCACCTGCAAACCTACCTTCTGTGATTCATGCACAAGGACACCCAGGTCCCTCTGCATAGCAGCATGCTGCAACTTTTTACCATTCAAGTAATAATCCTTTTTACTATTACTCCTACCAAAATGTATGACTTCACATTTATTTACATTGTATTCCATCTGCCAGACCTTTGCCCACTCACTCAATGTATCTATGTTCCTCTGCAAAGTTTCACAGTCCTCTGCACACTTTGCTCTGCCACTCATCTTAGTGTCATCTACAAACTTTGACACCCTACACGAGGTCCCCAACTCCAAATCATCTGTATAAATTGTAAATAATTGCAGTCCCAACACCGATCCCTGAGGCACACCACTAGTCACTGACTGCCAGCTAGAATAGCACTCATTTATCCCCACTCTTTGCTTCCGGTTAGTCAACCAATCCTCTATCCATGCTAATACTTTACCCTTAATGCCATGTATCCTTATCTTATGCCATAGCCTCTTGTGCGGCACCTTGTCGAAGGCCTTTTGGAAATCTAGGTACACCACATCCACTGGGTCCCCATTGTCCACCTTGCTCGTAATCTCTTCATAGAATTCCAAAAGATTTGTCAAGCATGACCTGCCCTTCATGAACCCATGCTGCGTCTGCCCATTGGGACAATTTCTATCAAGATGCCTTGCTATTTCTTCCTTGATAATAGACTCAAGCATCTTCCCCACTACAGAGGTTAAGCTAACCGGTCTATAATTCCCCATCTTTTATCTACTTCCCTTTTTAAACAGTGGCGTCACATTTGCTGTTTTCCAATCTGCTGGGACTGCCCCAGAGTCCAGCGAATTTTGGAAAATTACCGCCAGTGCACCTGCTATTTCTCCCGCCATCTCTTTTAGTACCTTGGGATGCATTCCATCAGGGCCAGGAGACTTATCAATCCTTAGCTCCATTAGCTTGCCCAACACTACCTCTTCCGTAATAATGATTGTTTCCAGGTCCTCACCTACCTTCGTCTGTTTGTCAATTACTGGCATGTTATTAGTGTCCTCCACTGTGAAGACCGATACAAAATACCTGTTCAATGCCTCGGCCATTTCATCATATCCCATAACTAAATTCCCCTTCTCATCCTCTAAAGGGCCAACGTTTACTTTAGCCACTCTTTTTCGTTTTATATATTTATAGAAACTTTTGCTATCTGTCTTTATATTCTGTGCTAGTTTTTTCTCATGTTCTATCTTACTTTTCTTTATAGCTCTTTTTGTGGCTTTCTGTTGACCTTTAAAGTTTTCCCAATCTTCTAGCTTCATGCTGTTTTTGGCCACTTTGTATGCCTTCTCTTTCAATTTGATAGCCTCCCTTATTTCTTTAGACACCCATGGCAGATTACCCCTTTTCTTACAGTCCTTCCTTTTCATTGGAATATACTTTTGCTGAGCACTTTGAAAAATTGCTTTGAAAGTCCGCCACTGCTCGTCAACTGTCCCACCATAAAATCTTTGTTTCCAGTCTACTTTAGCCAAGTCCTCCCTCATTCTATTGTAGTTCCCCTTGTTCAAGCACAGGACCCTGGTATTGGATTTTATCTTCACACTCTCCATCTGTATTCTAAATTCAACCATACTGTGATCACTCCTTCCAAGAGGATCCCTAACTATGAGGTCATTAATTATTCCTGTCTCATTACACAGGACCAGATCTAGGATAGCTTGCTCCCTCGTCGGTTCCATTACATACTGTTCAGGAAAATTATCACGGATACACTCAACGAACTCCTCCTCAAGGCTACCCTGACCGAGCTGGTTCGACCAATCTACATGTAGATTAAAATCCCCCATGATACTTGCCGTACCATTTTTACAGGCATTAGTTATTTCTTTGTTTATTGCCCGTCCCAATGTGACGTTATTATTTGGTGGCCTATAGACTACACCCATCAGTGACTTTTTCCTCTTAGAATTTCTAATTTCCACCCAAATGGATTCAACCTCATTCTCCATAGAACCTATATCATCTCTCAGCACCGCCCTGATGTCATCCTTGAATATCAGAGCTACGCCACCTCCCTTACCTTCCTGTCTGTCTTTCCGAATAGTCTGGTACCCTTGGATATTTAACTCCCAGTCGTGACCATCCTGTAACCATGTCTCCGTAATGGCTACCAAATCATATTCATTCGCGATGATTTGTGCCGTTAACTCATCAACCTTGTTACGAATGCTACGAGCATTCAGGTAAAGTGCCTTTATGCTAACTTTCTTACCCTCATGATTTCCAACATCTCTAATAATATCTCCTGAGTTATCCGTCCTTTTTGCTTCTTTCATAGTCTGCCTTGAACTTAAACCCTCCTGCACACATGCTAACCTGCTGCTTACCTTTTTATTTACCATCATACTCCCTGTCGTTTTCCCTTTCCCTTCCCCCCAACTCACTAGTTTAAAGTCCTAGTAAACAATAGGTGGAGTTGGAGCCCAGAGATACAGAGAGAGAAACAATTGAGCAGACAAAGGAATGACTAAAGATCAGTCTGGGGGAATGAATAGCTACTAATGGGGACCATTAGTAGCTTACAGTGGGTTGTTTGTGGTAGCAGCCCATGTGATGACAAGGCCTGATGTGTGGGGGTTGGGGTAAAGACATGGGAGAAGGTGCTCAGGCCCTAAAATCATTAAACTCAATATTTCGTGCAGAAGGTTGCAGGGTTCCCAAGCAGAAAATGAGGTGTTGTTGAGCTTCACTGGAACACTGTAGCTAGTCCAAGGCAGAGGTATTGGTCAGGGAACACAGCGATGTGTTGACATAGCAGGCAACTGGAAGCTCAGGGACATTTTTGCAGACAGAATGTGGGTGTTCCACAAAGCAGTCGCCCGGCAGTTGCTTTGTGTCATCAATATAGAGGAAACCATCGCTTGGGCTGCTACCACAAACAATCCATTGTCAACCCATCCTTTCTCCATCATATATACCAACGTTCTCATAGTTGTGAATCAGTTCTGAAGAAGGGTCACTGGACCCAAAATTCTGATTTCTCTCCACAAATGCCTCCAGACCTGCTGAGGTTTTTCTAGCAATTTCTGTTTTCAATCCTCCTACAACTAATTGTTTCTGTGCTAAACTTGATTAGATATTGTCATTTGAGGACATTCCTGGTAAGTGCCTTGAATATTTAGTCCAAAAGTACTTAGATGAATGCTTCATTTTTAATGTAGCCACACAGTAAACAGCATGCTATCACCTCCAACTGGTCTACAATAACAAACACAACAGCGTGACTTGCACATCCAAAGTCAGTTTCAGTAACACATACTGCACAGTACCAGCAGGGTAACAACACCTGGAACAGAGACAAAAAAAACCCTTTCATAACAAAAGGAATATTTCAAGCAAAATCACCAGTCCTGAACTGTCGATACAACCTCAAGCTTGAGTGGAGAAAGTTTCCAGTAGTGAAATAGCCTGATAAATTAGTGACAGGGTGAGGCATGTTTTTCTTTACTCACTGAGCTGGAGCTCTATCAGGTGACTACATTCAGTAGGGCTGCACCTGCTGCCAGACTGCTCACAGCAAACAGCCAAATCTAAAATAACAAGGTGTAGAGCTGGATGAACACAGCAGGCCAAGCAGCATCAGAGGAGCAGGAAAGCTGACGTTTTGGGCCTAGACCACCTTGTTATCTTAGATTCTCCAGCTTCTGCAGTTCCTACTATCTCAGCCAAATCTAAAGGTTGCTTTGCCGACTCAGCCCAGCTCTATGCCTTGGTGCTTCTGCCACTTTTGATGTCTTCTCCCCTTCTTTTATTCATGATTTCCTTCTGCTGCTGAGCATTAGGAACATAAGGAAGGAGCAGAAGATCATACAGCCCATTGAGCCTGCTCCACCATTCAACATAGTCATGGTTGATCTAGTTGAACTCCACTTTCTTGAGAAACCATAAGTCTGTCTATATTTGCCTTATATTATACAATATGATCTACAACTTTCTGAGGTAGAAAATTCCAAAAATTCCACACCCATCCAAATGCACAGATATCTCCATATCTTAGTTCTAAATTATTGCTCCCTTATTCTGAGAGCCTGCTCATGGATTGGGAAATCTAGAACAGAGAGAGCAACCGTTCAATGTCTACCCCGACAGGCCTCTTCAGAATCTTAAATATTTTAATGAGATCACCTCTCAATCTTCTGAATTCCAGAGAATACCATCGCTATTTACTCAGCCTTTTGGGATAACTCTCTCATACTGCTGGCACCAATACACTCGATACTTTTGTCTGACTTACGTCCGGCAGGACTCCTTTGATCTAAGTCGGTGCCTGCATATTTATTGAAGATGGAGAAGTCCGTTCAGTAGCGAAGCCAACAACTTGCAGTTACTCTATGTTTATTACTGTGTCCTAGCAACATCACTTCCGGCTGGTTCGGACCTCACAAAAATAGCCGCTCGACATGGGAGTATTCGGTGCGCGTGCGCAGAGCTGCCGGCGGGCGGTGTTGGCGCTGGCGCGTGAATGGATCTGAGCATCCTCCCGCACTCGGTAGGTGAGAGTGGATTGGTTCAAAATGGCATCAATCAGACTTCTTTTCCTCCGCACTCCTGGCGAGCTGGATGTGGCTGGTGACTGTTTTCCAATACAACCATTTAGACAGTGGAAGGGGGTCCTTGAGGGAATCGGAGCTTTTATGAAATCTGGTTTTTGCCGTCCAGGGGGGTAAGTTGATCGGCCGGCGGGTGTAGTGCGGTCTCTCGGTTCTCACTGACGGAGAGATGCGGTGCATCGTGGTTTGGTCCCTGAGCATCAAATGTAGCCAAATAACCAGCGGCTGGGAAATCCGGCCCTCTGGTTCTTTTATCTCTAGTACCCAGGTTTAGATTTAGACACAAAAACAAAGTTGCTGGAAAAGCTCAGCAGATTTAGACAGCTTTTTTCGATCATGTAAAAGTCGTTCAGTTCCGGAAACAAAACCTTCGGTCGAACACGTCCAAGTTACCCAAACTTTCGAGTTTACTGTGATTTTTCAAATATATTAATACGTATTTTCAGAGTAATTTGTTCTGAGAATTATGTTTCACAAATGTAAATTCTTATTTCCTGGCTTTGACATGAGTCGCACGCAAGTGTCCGTGCCAGCTGTCTAACAATCTTGATTTGAATTTTGAAATTTATGTTTTTCTCTGTAGACGTGATCGAATCGTAGATTCTTTTAATGTATAGTCCAAATCTGAGCTTTTCCAACTTTTTTCCCTAATGTGATCTCGAGGCTTGTGAACCCTTCTTGAGAGATGGGGGTGGAGTTGCTGGGGAAGTGGCGACCTGGCTGTCGTAACTCAGTCACGACTGCACCGGGAATCATTGCTGCCTGGATGTCGTGACCCTAAAATTTGAGCATGAGACTGTATTGTCCAGAACAAGGGAGTCCTCTCCACACTCCCCACCAGCCCCACCACCCGGGCACTTTTCTCTGCAACCGCAGGAAGTGCTATACCTGCCCTTACACTTCACCCCTCACCCCCATCCCAGGCTCCAAGAAAACATTCCACATTAAACAGATGTTCATCTGCTAATGTGGTATATTGTATCTGCTGTTCCCGATGTGGCCTCCTCTACATCGGGGAAACCAAGCGGAGGCTTGGAGACCGCTTTGTGGAACACCTTTGCTCGGTTCGTGACAAACGACTGCACCTCCCAGTCGCGAACCACTTCAACTCCCCCTCCCACTCCTTGGACGACATGTCCATCCTGGGCGTCCTCCAGTGCCACAACGATGCCACCCGAAGGTTGCAGGAACAGCACCTCATTTTTTGCTAGGGAACCCTGCAGCCCAATAGTCTCAATGTGGACTTCACAAGCTTCAAAATCTTCCCCACCCCCGAGTTCATCCCAAAACCAGCCCAGCTCGTCCTTACCTCCTTGACCTGTCTGTCTTTTCTCCCACCTATCTGCTCCCCCCACCTCACTGACCAACCCCCACCTCCACCTCCACCTCCTACCTACCAGCCTCATCCCTGCCTCCTTGACCTGTCTCCTTCAACCCGTGGACCAGGGTGGAAAAGCAGCTTTTAAAGCTTATTATTTAAGGTGCACATTTAACAGGCTGATTACAGCCTCTGATGGGGATAAGGACAGTGTTCTTCAATTTTGGAAGAACTTTAACATTAAGAATGCAATTGACATTACATAAGGACTGATTTTATGCAGTTTGGCGGAAGCTTCTCCCAGATATTTGTCAAGATTTTAAAACCTTTGATCTGTCAGAGGAGCTCCCAAGGATCGAAGAACATTGTGTTGATCTTGCAAAGCAAGTTGGATTTGAAGAAGTGGAGAGTGAGGATGTTGAAGAGCTGCTTGAGTCCCACTGTGAAGACCTGCCTACAGCTGATCTACAACAACTTGTCACCTAGGGGGAAGTGGAGGCTGGAGATGAAGATGAAGTCCAGGATGTAACACCACAAGAGCTTTCCACTTCTGTTTTGTTTTCTATCCTAAGGGACATTGAGAAGCAGTTTTAGTTCTAAGAGGACAACGATTACAATGTAGAACGCAGCAAGGTAGCAGGTCGTGGAATAAGATCTTATTTGACGCTCTATGAACAGCTTCTTCATGAAAGAAACAAAGGGCAAAGCTGCAGAAATGGGATGTCTTTTTTAAGCCAACCCCCAAGAAACTGTCAGAAGACAATGAACCACAGCCATCCACTTCTGGATTAACTATTTTTCACCTTAACCCTGCAACTGCACCTGAAGGTGGTGATGATAATGATACTGACCCTCAGCCCCTGAGTTAACAACAGAGACCTCAAAACCTCCTCCCCCATCAAGTCATCTTGATATTTTTTCAAGATAAGGTGTTAAGTTTACTTTTATTTCATTATTAGGTATGAATAAAACATTTATTCAAACTGTGCTATCCTTTTTGTTAGGCTTTTGAGTCATTTTTGCGCGATTTTGAGTGATACTTTTTAGTGGGCTGCCCCTAAACCTGCTTTACCCGTAGGCCATGTTATTTCTACAGTGCAATTTTCTGTAACGTGATGTTGCACAGGAACGCAACTGTCATGTTATAGCAGAACTCCCTGTATAGTGAATGTAAAGGTTTTAATCGTTTTTTCCAAACATTGCAGAACTTGAACTTGCTCAATTTGGTGAGTAACTGTTGTAAAGATTTTATCTGGAGAGCTTCACTGTATTAGGATGGTTTTCACCAAACAGTGACAGGAACAAATATTCTTGTGGGTGGTTTTGCTAGTGCTGTTCGGTGGATTTTCAACGAGTTTGGCAGGGGAATGGGAACCTGAGGGGAGGCTCTGAGTTAGCTAGAGTGGGTGAAGGCTTAAGGAGAAAGAGAATCAAGTCAGTAAATAAAAAGCAAGAAGTAGCTGAGCCGTGTAGCGCTAAGGTGATTGGAAACATAAGGTAGTAACATAAAAAGTGAGAATGTTTGAAACAAAAGTTCTTCTGGTGAAGGTGTTAGGATTCAAAAAGGTATAAAAACCAGCATAAATGTACTTTACTTGAATGCTTGCAGCATTCGAAACAAAGTAAATGAGTTGATGGCATAAATCATCACGAATGGGTATGATTTAGTGGCCATAACAGAAACCTGGTTGCAAGGTGGTCACAACTGAGTTAAATGTCCAGGCATATCGGGCTATTCGGAAGGAAAGGGAAGTGGTGTTGCTCTGATATTTATGGATGACGTCAGGGCAGTAGTGAGAGATGATATAGGTTCTGTGAAGAAAAAGATTGAATCAGTGTGGGTGGAAATTAGAAATAGTGAGGGGGAAAAAGTCACTGTTAGGCATTGTCTGTAGGCCACCAAGTAATAACATCACAGTCGGGCGGGCAATAAACAAAGAAATAACTGATACATGTAAAAATGACTTGGCAATTATCATGGATTTTAATCTATATATTAATTGGTCAAATCCAGTCAGTCAAGGCAACCTTGAGGAGGAGATCACAGAATGTATCTGCGATAGTTTTCTTGAACAGGATGTAAACCATGAGGGAGCAAGGTATCCCACGTCTAGTCCCGTGTAATAAGACAGGAATAATTGATGATCACATAGTTAGGGATCCTTTTGGAAGGAATGATCACAGTGTAGTTGAATTTAAAATACAGATGGAGGGTGAGAATCCTATGCCAGTGCCTTGTTCTTAAACAAAGGGGACTACAATGGGATGAGGGAGGAGTTGGTTAGGGTAGATTGGGAGCAAAGACCATATGGTGGGACAATTGAGACACAGTGGAGGACTTTCAAAGCAATTTTTCATAGTGCTCAGGAAACGTCTGTACCAGTGAAAAGGAAGGACTGTAGGAAAAAGGATGCAACTAAGGAAATAAAGGAGGTATCAAATTGAAAGCTAATGCATACAAAGTGGCAAAGATTAGCGGGAAACTAGGAGACTGGGAAATCTTTAAAGGTAGAAAGCACGAAAAACGCTATAAAGAAAAGTAAGATGGATTATGAGTATAAACTTGTTCAGAATATAAAAACAGATAGCAAAAATTTCCACTAAAATGAAAAAGAGTGGCTAAGGTAAACATTTGCCCCTTAGAGCATCAGAAGGGGGATTTAATAATGGGAAATGAGGAAATGGCCAATGCGTTGAACAGGTATCTTGTGTCTGTCTTCACAATGGAAGACACAAATAACGTGAAATAATTGATGACAAGGATGCTATGGCAGGTGAGAATCTGGAAACGATCATTATTATGATTATTATCATTATTCTGTTGGGAAAGCTAATAGGACTAAAGGTAGACAAATCTCTTGGGTCTAATAGAATGCATCCTAGGGTACCAAAAGGGATGGCAGGGGAAATAGCAGATGCGCTCGTGGTAATTTCCTAAAATTTGCTGAACTCTGGGATGGTTCTGGTTGATTGGAAAAGAACAAATTTGACACCACTTTTTGAAAAAAGAGGTAGACAAAAGGCAGGTTACAATAGGCCCTTTATTTGAACTTCTGTGGTGGGGAAGATGTTTGAATCTATCATCAAGGAAGAAATAGTGAGGCATCTGGATAGAAATTGTCCCATTGGGCAGACACAACATGGGTTCATGAAAGGCAGGTCATGTTTAACTAATTTACTGGAAGTATTTGAAGATATTACGAGCACAGTGAACAGTGGAGATTCAGTGGATGTGGTGTATCTGGATTTCTAGAAGGCATTTGACAAGCTGCTGCACAAAAGGATGCTGCATAAGAAAAAGGTATGTGGTGTTACGGGTAACGTATTAGCACGGATAGAAGACTGGCTAACTAACAGAAAGCAAAGAGTGGGGATAAATGTGTGTTTTTCTCGTTGACGATCAGTGGCTAGTACCTCAGGGATCAGTTTTGGGACTGTAATTGTTTACAATTTGCATCGATGGTTTAGAATTGACAACCAACTGGAGTGTGTCGAAGTTTGCAGCTGATGCTAAGATGAGTGGTAGAGCAAAGTGTACAGTGTTCACTGAAAGTCAACAGAGACATAGGTTAAGTGACTGAGCAAGGGTCTGGCAGATGGAGTACATTATTGATAAATGTAATGTCATTCATTTTGGAAGGAGTAACAGCAAAATGGACTATTATTTAAGTGGTGAAAAATTGCAGCATGCTGCTGTGCAGAGGGACCTTTGAGTCCTCGTACATGAATTACAAGACATTGGTTTGCAGCTGCAGCAGGTAATTAAAAAGGCAAATGGAAGGGATGGAGTTTAAAATTAGGGAGGTTATGCTGCAGCTGTTTAGGGTGCTGGTGAGGCCACATCTGGAGTACAGTTTTGGTCTCCTTACTTGAGAAAGGATGTATTGGCACTGGAGGGGGTGCAGAGGAGGTTCACTAGGTTAATTCCGGAATTGAGAAGGTCGGTTTATGGGGAGAGATTGAGTAGACTGGGACTATACTCATTAGAATTTAGAAGAACGAGGGGGCATCTTGTAGAAACTTCTGAAATTATGAAGGGAATAGATAAGACAGAATCAGGGAGGTTGTTTCCACTGGCAGGTGAACCTAGAACTAGGGGGCATTGTCGTAAATCTGCTGCTCCGTACTTTGAGGCTGAAGTTTTGGAGAACTTCTTTGCCCAAAGGGTTGTGAATCTGTGGAATTCCCTGCCCAGTGAAGCAGTTGAGGCCACCTCATTGATGTTTTTAAGGAAAAGATAGATTTTTGAACAGTAAAGGAATTAAGGGTCACGGTGAGAGGGTAGATAAGTGGAGCTGAGTGCACAAAAAAGATCAGCCATGATCTTATTGCATGGTGGAGCAGGCTCAAAGTGCCAGGTGGTCTACTTCTGCTCCTATTTCTTATGTTCTTATTGATGTAACCTACAGCAAAATTACCATCTTCATTGTCTGCAGGGTATTATGAGTATATGCTTGTGAAAAAGAAATCACAATGTGGCAGTCCTTTAAAAGGCAATACTTCCAAGTCCTAGCATTTATGGAACAAGCAGCTTCATTGGCTCCAGCATATTTGTAGGTTACTGGCACAAATGTAATATGACACATCTCATTTTTAGTATCAAAATATTATTTTTCTTAAAATCAATAAATTGCTGGGTGTGATTTTTTAGGTGTGTGAGTATGAAGTATATAATCTACTTAATCTACTTCTGAACTTTATTTTGTATTATGGTTTCGTAGGGACCACTCTCCACGACTCCCTCGTCCACTCCACACTCCCCACTCGACCCACCACCCCTGGCACCTTTCCCTGCAACCATAAAAAGTGCCACATCTGCCCCTACACTCACCTCCTCACCTTCATCCAAGGCACAAGACAAACCTGCACATCCATCAACTTGGTCTACTGTATCTGTTGCTCCCGATGTGGCCTCCTTTACATCCGTGAGACCAAGCGTAGACTTGGAGACCTTATTGTAGAGCATCTGTGCTCTGTATGCGACAAACAACACCATCTTCCGGTTGCCAACCGTTTTAACTCTTCCTCCCACCCCCTGGATGACATGTCCATCCTGGGCCCCCTCGAGTGTCACAATGACACCACCCGCAAACTGAGGAGCAGCACCTCATATTCCGCCTCAGGACCCTACAGCCCGGTGGCCTAAACCTGGAATTCACCAGTTTTAAAATCTCCCCACCTCTGGCCTCATCCCATGTCCAAGCCTCCCTGTCATCCCCACCTCCTTGACCTGACACAACCTGTCCATCTTCTCTCCCACCTAACTTGCCCCTCCCATCTCACTGACCAATCCCCACCATTCCCTACATGCACTCCCCTATCACCATCCCACCTACCTTGCCCACCCCACCTCTCTATTTATTTCTGAGCTCCCTTCCACCTCCCCATTTCTGAAGAAGGGTCCCAACCCGAAACGTCAACTTTCCTGCTCCTCTTATGCTGCCTGGCCTGCAGTGTTCCTCCAGCTCCACATTGTAAGATCTCTGACTCCAGCATCTGCAGTTCTTATTATCTCTGTTCATATTTTAATTGTCTGTTTCATTTTTCTTTCAAAATCTAATTAAAGAAAAGAATGGATGCACTACTGCTGCCAAAGGAAGCTGGAAAATTTATATCTGACAACAGCAAAGATGTCTTTATATTGGAAAAAGGAGTTTGGAAAGTTGCTGAAATGCTGTTTGTAAAAAGAAATTCAAAGGAACTCGATGCAACAGGATGGAAGCTACTCCATGATCTAAACCCACAAACAATGAATGAGGCATCTGTCAACTGGGTATTTGTCGTAGACACCCTCAATTTTTCCTTTTGGTCGGAAAATGATGATCACAAGTGCTTGATTAAGTACAAAGGCAAAATGCATAGTGGCTTTTGGTCACTTTGTGCTGCTATTAACAGAGCGCTGGATGAAGGTGAGTTTCTACTTTGATTTTGTTATATTTGTGGCAGATTTTAAAAGTTCCACCTTTACTCTTCATTTTACATGTATGTCCACAATTTGCTGATGGTTTCAAAATTTCCAGTTTGTGGACACCAGCAACTTCTTCTGTCCATGGTCATGCAACATTCCTCTGCACACCCATTCCCATCAGGATGGTCTTTGGGCTCTGAGGCTTCTTTCTAGAATGAAAGCCTGAACCGTCCACACCACCACCCTCCTCCACCTGGCCGAGCTCGTCCTCACTTTGAACAACTTCTTTAATCTTGTTCTTCAGCTAAGAGGGGTGTCCTCACCCCTTCGCTTCCCTCCCACAACAATAATATATCTCCCCTGGTGCTCACTTTTCAATTGACCAACCTCCGCATCCAAAGGATCATAAGCCACCATTTTTGCCACCTCTAGCAACATGCCACCACCAGGCACATCTTCCCCTTACCTCACTTGTCCAGGAACCCCAACACCTCCCACATCCCCATGGCACCGTCCCATGCAATCCAAGAAGGTGCAACACCCCCCTGTTTACTTCCTGCCTCCTCACTATCCAAGGCTCCAGACACACCTTCCAGGTGAAGCAGCGATTTGCTTGCACCTTAATCTAGTTTACTGCATTTGCTGCTCACAATGCAGTCTCTTCTACACTGGGGAGACAAAACCCCAAACTGGATGACCACTTTGTGGAACACTTTCGTCAGTCAATAAAAATCGGTCAGAGCTTCCAGATGCCTGCCACTTCAATGCATCACTTTGTTTCCGTACCAACATTTCTGTCTCAGGCCTGTTGCAGTGCTCCAGCCAGGCTTAGCACTGTATCTGTGATAACGAGGTGTAGAGCTGGATGAACACAGCAGGCCAAGCAGCATCAGAGGAGCAGGAAGGCTGACGTTTCAGGCCTAGACTCTTCTTCAGA